AGAGAAATACTATAATCAAGTGGCAGTCTCTGGTGATCTCAACGAAGCCGACCTACTTCGAGCAGAAAAGCACGCAAATGCAACGAAGGATTTTCTATTTACCTGGACAATATCACCATTCGGTTCTAGTGAACAAGTTGCGCAACCAGTCAAGCTATTATGGGAGGGCCAAGACGTGTACTTTTCGGAACTCTCTCACGACATCTTGAGTGGCTCTTCAGGATACGGGAGTTTTATGACAAGTGAGGATGATGACAACGGTGCCTCGGAAAGAGAAGGGCTCAGAGATGTGCCTGGAACCGTTTATAACTCACAAGTCGGGGCGACTTCTGCTACACTCGTAAGGTAGATATCGCCATTTTATGAATCCCGAAAGACGATCACTTAAACCACTTCCTTCAGACATACACGTTGGGGAATCCGTATTCAGTGTGAGAAGTTACCCGACCCAGAACGCAACATGTGAGTTTCATGACCAACCTCAAAAACTATCAACTGATCCTTTTGAAGAGTTCCATGGTCCCCAGGAAATCTTACTTATGCGTATATCCCTCAGAGTGTCATTGATGACTTGAGCTCTAAACTCGGCCTTCCAAACTATCCACAAACAGTCGATCCCACGAAGTTCTTGCAAAATAATGATACCGTACCAGAAAATATCGACTTATCACAGATAGGGCTCGTGGGCGCCTGGTCGAACAATGGCGTTGGTGAGTTGAATTCTTCACGACTGTCGCTTATAAGTATTCAAACTTGGCTAGCACATTCCTTCAAGTCGACTCCACTAGAATACGGTGCAAAAGGGAACGGATGGGTTGAGTTGGATGTAATGATGGTCCGTTTAGAAACATTATATGCGCCTGGTGGTACATTTAAAGTCCGCTCGGAAGATGGAATGTAAGTGAATACTTGAAATCAAATCAAGGGAATTAAACTGATGCGGAGAAGTCGAACTGTGGGCTTTGACGCTGCAGTGTGTGTCGAGGCTATCGAACCCTGGGTCGTCGATACATACAACGCTACTACTGGCCGAGTAACAACTTTGAAGGTGGTTGGAAAAGGTGACCTATCGACCGTACACTTGAATTACGGAAAACAAAAGAATCGTAGTATCAAAGGCTTATCGATGGGAGTCAACTCCACCGGTAAATTGGAAGTATTTGGCCTTGCTCACGGCAATTCAAGGAACCAGATTCTCAAGGTCAGAGCGTTCCTTTGGATTTTTGACGACCATGTTGACCTCTGGATATAGGACAATGGCCGTGACTATTACTATGTTCCAAACCCAACAGTAAGTATCTTCATCTTCCCCCGCACAAATGGACCCTGATATAATATGGTTCAGTTGATGTCATGGTCGGGTGGAAATGGCCCTCGAGATTATACTTCTTTGCAACCTAAATTCCTGGAGTCTGCTATGGGAATGGCTGATGCCGCCCAGTTACTTCCCTATTTGGCTGGTTCTAAATCTGTTGTTGCTTATCAGTATCCTGTTAAGACAACGGCATTTGCTCACTTGTTTGTCGGACCTACCATAGGCAGTCTTGCCGTCATACTGCTTGTGGGATTCGCAGCTGCATTCTTCGTCCCCCGTCTTCCACTTGGAATCCCTCGACGTGACTTCAGGTTTGTGAGGTCTCTTTCTTGCTCTTTATATGCATTGACCATGTATGACTAGTGTATTCACATGGTTGGCGGCATTCGAAGGAGATGGGATGATTCACCAGGCCGTAAAGCAAAACATAGAGCGCAATATGGAGTAAGTTCTTGTCTGTTGGCATTAAATTACGTCCTTCTTACAGTAAACAGTTTAGAAGAACTCCGGCGCAAGTATGGGGAACAGAAAATTAGCTATGGGACATGATACACCGTGGTTATTCATCTGTTATCGTCCTTTTTTTTTTGTAAACTCCCGTAGGTTCTCCCGCTTTCACCTAGAATTTTGCACTTCTCGTATGGACTCGGATATTGCACGGACCTCTTCATCGTCACATTCATCATTGTACCTTCACCTTAATCCTCTACATCTGCATCTCAACGTCCATATCCGGTCTAGGTTCACCCCTGGCCACTGAATTAACCAATTCCCGTCGAATTTCTGGACTTATTTGTGGATGTGGGTTGACCCTAATGACGTCCAGTAGTGCATCTTTTTGCTCTGGTGTTATATCGGCTGCATATCTTCAAAGAAAATGAGAAATATCATTTGAGGGTTACACGTTTGCTCCTACCTTTGCGCGAATACTAGCAGACTTTGATGCCATAACACTGGCAGCTTTTCGCTCTGCCCTTTATCTCGCCTTCCCTTATAGGTATTCGAAAGGATAATGAAATGCTCGACCAATCCATCAACGACCTTGTACGGAAGCGCATATTTCTTATCCAATAAGACTCGAATAAATAGTGAATTCGGGCCTATGAATATGTATCAGCATGGACCTATCCCGAGCCGGACAAATGCTTCCTACCAGAATATTCCATACGAGCCAATCTCAAGAGCGCCGCTGCAGAGTGTAGGATTGGTACAGATACTCGCGTCAGAACGCTGCCAATGACAGCAGCCTCTTTCAGCGTGCACCCGCCTTCACAGAGAGGAAATAGGATCCCTTTAAAGAAAGCGCCAGGTTTGTATACACTCTTCTTGAGTGCTTCGTAGTATTGTACGTTGAGTTTTCCGTGCTCTGCGATATCATCGCGGACTGCAGGGAGGAGCACGCCCTCAAGAAAAACTCGGCACTGAGCAGGCTTGAGGTTCGATACAAGAATACGAGTGGCTGCTCGCATGGCATGTGGTGACCAGTTTTCTGGTCGGGTGATAGCTAGAATCCGTGCCCAGTTATTGAGAGATGGTATAATCTTGAAAGCCTTTGGAAGCGATGAAGAACGATATCTCGAGAGAAATACCCCTAGTCTAAGAAACAATTAATTTAACTGAATAGTTTTGTGGATGCAATTTACTTGGTATATACTTCAATAACCTTTGGGTCAAGACCAGCCGCTGGATCTAACGGTTTCGACGGATCTAAAATACTCTTAGAACACACGTAACATATCTCTTGATATAAATACCTTGCTTAAATTTGACAGATTTTTC